TTTTAAAGAGACCAAACCATGATCAGAAGCACCTAAGGGTAAGTGTGGTGAAACTGAGCACTGACTAGGATTAGAAACAAGACGTAAGTCGAGTAGAGAAGGTTAATGATTCGGGTTGTCTGGAAAGCGAGTTGGAAAGTTGACTATTTGAGTTAGGGATTGAGAAAAGCAAAAGTTGTGGGCCTTAATGCCTGCGGAGTCACTGACACTAGAGCCAAGCCATTCAGTGTGATAAACATTAAAGTCACCGACAACAACAATATTGGCTGATGGATAAAGAATGAGGGCTTGGTCAATATAATCAGAAATAACATCAAGAAGAGTGCAGTCTTGAGATGAAGGAGAACGATATAGAACAAAGAGAAAGGTGATAGACTGAAGTGGTGCTAAACGAAAGCACATAAAAGAGTAGTCTGTGGATTCAAACCTAGTCTCCTGACAGATGGGTGAATTCTTACGAATGTAAATACCTAGGCCAAGCATGTGACTATTGGAGTCTTTACGAATTAAAGGAAGATAACCATCAACACTAAGATCACAAGATGAAACAGCTGAACTCAAATTAGTCTCACAAAGAGCAAGTAGGTCTGGTAAACTTTGCAAGAGATAAAACTCAACAGAAAAAAATTACTTCGAAGACCACAAATATTGGTGAATGATAGGTTTAGCGAACTTGGTGATGACTGTTTTATAGTTTTTGTTACTTTATTCATTTTTAAATTTGTTAAAGAACTTGACTCAAAACATTGATAGTACTCAGTACACTGTTCTATAGCTCAAGCAATTGCCTCATTTCCACTAATAAACCCTAAGCCGTAACAAAGGGCTCCAATGTGGCCTTGGCAATGCACACCAAAAGTACAAACAGGGACACCATCCATGCGCAACATGGCACTGTTAGTACTCTGATATTTTTCAGCTGTTGATGGAATCAGCCTCTCTGAGAGCTACCACAGAGTTCGGGAAGCCTGACTACCAGCCGGCCTCAGAACCATAAAACTGAGTTTTAGAGCTATACCCTCATTTGGAGATAATAGAATGAGTTGCCTAGTCATAAAAACAGAGACACAAGCAAAGGCGTGCAATTTCACGTCTTTATATGACCACGCAAATTACATTTTGCTATGATGATTTAACCGTGGCTAATTCAAAAAACGTTTTTAAAATGCGCTAATTGAAAAATATTCTAAAAAAGTGAAATGAATTACATCAAAATTTCTAAACAAATATTTTTATATTTGCGGAACGATTTTAAATAGAGTAACAACTTACTGAATTTTTTTTTTTATGAATATAATTACCAGTTATATATATTTTTTAAATTTATAACATATAAATTGTTTAAGTGTTCATTTTTAAAGTTAATTTTTTAACTTTTAATTTTTAAACTTAATTAAAAAATAAAAAATTGTTTTGTTTTTATAAACAATGACATTCTGCAACTGTAAAAGTCTTTCTAAAGAATTCAATTTCAAAAGATAAACAAAATTTTGTTTTTAAAAAAGAGTTTTAAAAAGCTGTTATAATTTAATAAGTTTGATCTTAAATGCCCTAATATTATCGAAACGCTTTTTAATAAAGTAAAAAAAACACTTCTAATTAATTTTAAAAAAAAGTATTAATAAAATATTTTTTTTTTAATATATATAATTATGTATTATTTTTTTATGAAAAATGTTTAACTTTTGAAACATATTAAATAAAAAATATATACAACAGTCTTCTCTGTTAGAAATTTATTGCCAGCGAACGAAAAATTTTGTTGGCCGGACAGTAATTATTTGTCCGGCGTGCACGATTTTAAAAACTATTTGTTTTTTTGTACCTCTTTAATTAGAATTTGATTAAGAATTTGATTAAGAAAAATATAATTTTTCTCGTAAAAGTATAATTATCATTTTAAATAAAATCAAAAAAAACAATATCATTTTAAACAAATTAATTGCATAATACACTGAAAAGCTTTTTAAAAGGCACAGTTATTGCAACAAAAAAAAATTAGAATTAAAAAAGAGTACCGATTTAAATGAGGAGCAGCTCTCCAAGTTCATTTTAGGAGAGCTTTTCTCTGCTCTCATACTCGTTTACTCCCGCCAAGGCTTTTTAATATATTTAATACCCTGTATATATATATATATATATATATATATATATATATATATATATATATATATATATATATATATATATATATATATATATATATATATATATATATATATATATATATATATATATATATATATATATATATATATATATATATTTACAGTACCGAACTTAATTAACTGGGCCAGTCACATTTTCATGCAAAGAAGCAAAGAAGACACAATCTTGAATAATACTGATTTAATTATTTACAGATAGCAATAGTATTATATAATAATGTACAAAATATGTAAATATAACAATATAACAAAGAAATTCAGTCATTGAAAGAAAAAAATCTAATATTTTGTACTTCGATCCTTGACCCTCAATAATTCCCTCAAGCGACGCGGCATTGACTGTACCAGATTCTGGAGAGTGTCACGTGATATATTATTCCAGGCATTGGAAATCATGTGCCACAATTCATCCAGATTACTTGGCTTTCTGTTCTGCACCTTTTTGAATAGCACTTCCCACAAATTCTCAATCGGGTTCATGTCCGGACTCTGGGCCGGCCAAGTCATCGTTGTGACCTTTAGACTTGAGAAATGTGGTCACAGTCTTTGCTGTGTGACAAGGTGCATTGTCATGTTGGAAAATATACTGCTGACCATCATAACGCTTTGCAGCAGATGGCAACATAGCTGATTCCAACAACTCTATGTATCGGTTTTGGTTAAGAGTACCTTCGATACGCCGAAGTTCTCCCGTCCCGAAACCATTCATGCAACCCCATACCATTATTGACTTACCCCCATGTTTTACTGTTGGCAGAATACAGTCAGCATTAAATCTCTCCCCTGGCCTCCTTCTCACAAAGGCACGCTTTGCAGCACAGAACAACTCAAACGGGCTCTCGTCTGACCATAACACTCTGCTCCAGTCATCGGCCGTCCAATCCTTATGAGTTTTCGCCCATTCCAGTCTGCTGCGACGATTCTTCTTGGACAGAAGTGGTTTCTTTGCTGCTACACAACCACGCAGATTAGCTGCCCGCAGTCTCTTACGCACAGTATGGCTGGTTACGTCAACTCCGTAGTTCTCGTTCCATGCCTTTTTCAGCTCTGGCGAAGTCAACCATCGGTTACGCTTTGACATGCGGATGAGCTGCCTGTCCTCTCGCTCAGTGGTAGCTCGCTTCCTCCCTCTTCCAGCTAAATCCCCAACACTGCCAGTATTCTTATGCTTTATTACCAATTAATCAACGGTTTTGCGGTTGATTTTTAGATCTGTAGCGATCTGGCGATGCGAATGACCTTGCTCGGCCAGCAAGACTACCCTCATCCGCGTCTCCATACTTAACCTCTTAGCTCCAGTCATTCTCTAAAAAGATAAAATATACCATTTTAACTTAACTTTTATACAAATTCTGCTTTATTTGACACAATATTACATATTGGAAGCATTGCTGACTTTAAATTTAATTTTAAATTATTTTGTTTCAATTTATCTTATTTTTTCTTATAAAATACCAAAAAATT